TGACTTCAAATTGCCATGACCCCACTGTATGTCATATTCGCCCACTTCCACCGTAATAATCTTACCTTTTTCTCTGCCTTTGTGTCTGTCTGCCTCTTCCACATCTCTGAATCACTATTCTGTCCCCCCTCTCCACTTTTCACACTTTGATGTAACTCCCCTCTGCGAAGCCCGAAGTCAGCTAAAGGGCTAATGATAAGTGTCATAAAGCCCGCTATTCGAAATAAATAAGTTATAAAGAAAAATAGGTAAGGAGAATTAAAAATTATTTCGCACCGAGATCAGGTAATAATAAATAAAGTACTAAAAGAATAATTTCCATTTTGTTTTGGGCCAAAGTCTGAGTTTGACGAAATGGTTCACTCCTGCCTCTGACGAGGACTCCTATTCCAACACTTAGGCATGAATCGATCTGGAAGACAAGCAGCAGAACCCACAAAGCCAACTCCACAAAGGAGTAAGGCTGAGTTCATGAGAATAAGAAGAAAAAGACCCATTTGTTGGTAACATTTCAATTGACTTGGAAGCACGGCTGATCCTGCAAGGGCCGTACTTAAAGCTGCTCCAGTAACCGCACATCCAACCATTTGCAAGGCTTCACTTGATCTAACTTTCCATGATGAACCTCCTGATTTTAATTTCATCATCGCAAACGCAAGGTGAATACAAGGATCCACGGCCAAACCTGCTGATAGACTAAGAATCAACGCCTCGACTATTCCCAAATTCCACCCACCAAGAATGACTAACAGTAGGCAAGAGAGTAGAAGGGAGGAAATAACAGACATCAAAGCTGTCAAAGATAGTGCAAGGCTCATAGTTGACAAGAAAACTAAAAGAGCTGCTAGAGCTATTGAAAATCCCACAGAGATAGGGAGAAATCTGAGAACATCTTCGTACGTTTCAAAGGCTGTGAATTCGGGGCTAACTAGAAATCCGGACTTTAAACCCGGGGGAGCTGTAAGTAGAAGCTCCGAAAACCAAGTTTCAACTTCTTGTCCAAATTTGTGTAAATCTGAGAAGGTTGTATTAGATAGAGAAATATTTGCAGTAAAAGAGATTACGAGTCCTACAATTTCACCAGAATCAAGGGAGAATCGTAACCCTGTTGGATTACTGGAAGCCTCTGCAAAAGCGACTAAGCAAAGCATTCTATCATGTGCGCAAAATGAATTAGCCTTCTCAAAGTCTTGAAAAGAAAACACTCCACTCCCGAAAACGCATCCACTATTTTGTAACGAAAGTAACAGCGTATCTTCTTCAAGATAACTTTTCCGAAGGGAAACGGAGGGAGGCGTCAAAATTCTGGGCAATTTCTTGAACATTGAACAAAAATTTGACAACCATTCAATAGATCTCGGGTCCGCGAGACTAAAGTCCTTGCTCCAAAGAGGCTGAAGAAGAATGTTTTCATCGTCTTGTGGTGCCCAGGTCCATGGATTTCGTGGATCTTTAGGTACAGCTCCCCAAACAGCATGGAGGGTTACAAGACTTCTATGACGCCTTAGAGTTGATTCAGCCCAAGAAAATTCACCCCCATATAATCGATATACCTCGGAAGGATGATTGGGTCGATAAAAAGCCGGTTGCATCGAACCATAAGGAAACGATAACCATCCGGCGTAAAAGAGAAGAAGCGAAGGGATGATTATGACCGAGGACAGAATAATAGGAAATATAAAGCGAATTTTGACGATAAAATTAACAAGAGGTAATCGCAAAGGCAGACGAAAAGATGAGCAACATTTTCGATGGGGAGGAACAAGAAGATATAGAAGCGTTGGCATGACAACTAAGACGTAGACAATATGACAAAGCACTGTCAAACTAGAATAGAGAGCAAATCGTTTGACGGCCACAATCGAGGAACTTAAACTCATTAGCAGTCCACCAAGTGTTGAAAATGAAGTAAGACAAACAGAAGGAACTGCGTGAATTAAAGTTGCCGCCATCCGACTGTGTTCAGAGGAGGTAGAATCGACATTTGACAACTCTCGACCGTGCACCGACACCCAAACCTAAAACGGAATAAAAATTGAGATGCATTCATGGCCTACCTTTTAAAAAGAGGATGGAATATTTTAAGAAAGTTTTACTGATTTACTTGATAGAACAGAAGAATGTCATCCGCCCCAAGTCCAAGAATCAGGACCAAAGCCATCATATTTAGAAGGGGGAACGCAGCGTCATGATGTCTTAGTAGAAGTAATGAATAGAGCCCATACCCGATAAGTAGGGACCACCCAAGAGCAAGGAATGTTGCAAGGACAATTATAAAACTACCCCTGGTCATTATCGAGAGCAGTATAGCCAAAGTGGCTGCTCCCAATACCACCCAAACGCTGTCCCATGCAACATATCTTGCTGACAGCTCACCGTATTCTCCAAGTTCGATAGCCTACGTAAAAGAAGTTGTAGGTAAGATAAAAATTCCATCTACTTAAATTTTTTCAATAGACTTACCTCAATTCTAAGCGAAGGTGTAAGATTTTTAGTAAGCTCACTTAGAACTGTGGGTCTATCCAAGGCAGCTAGATGCCACATTTGTAGGCCAATACTTCGCCAAATTGGGAGAACAAGAAGGGAAGTTTTTGGCGCCCCAGTGATTGCCAATAGTAACAAAAGATGGGGGTGGGTGAAACACACTGAAGGGACGTCTGGACAAAGCCACCGAGAGGGTGCCGATTCATCCCAGCACGAGAGTTTCAGCGAACCGGTTAGAAATGAATCCCAGCATGTTGTATAGAGATGCTTCACCAAATCAATGTCGGCTGTAGTTAGCTAAAAATTAATATAGGACATTTTCTTCCATAATTTGCAATAATAAAGAAACAAATCAAAACTTAATACTAGGGACGCATCTGAAATAGAATACGATAATTCCTACAATTAACAAAAAGGCCCAATGTGTAGTTATTCACTTTAAAGGTAACATAGCACCACAGATAATATTCGGTCAAAGTGTACAAAGCTTTAAATACAGCACGTGCAAGGGAAATTTCGTTTATGGAAATCGTAGTTTTGAGGCATGGAGTATTATAGTTTCAGGTGCAGTTATTGACCCTTATGATTTCATGAGATTTTAAGGGTGCTTAGTCAGAGATCAGTATTCAAGACAAGTGATTGGACATTGTAGTCGTAGATAGTCTCGTTTTCCAAAATCTCAGTCAGCTCAAAATTGGCGAATTGCAGTTGACAGTGAACAACCAGTATGACTAATTTCAAATGGTTTGGGGCTATGACTACTTTAATTTTTATATCTACCGGACATTTGTTGATATTAGTTAGCAAGAAGACACTAATTGCATTATTTTACAAAACAACAACTAATCTTCTAGCCGAGACTTGTGATTAGGTGGCTTAACTAACAGTTCCAAAATTACTCCGTAAGGGAAAGTTGAATAAATCATTTCTATCTTTGGGGGTGCATTTACTGATGGCAAACCAACGTGGCCGTCTGAGAAAAGGAGAACATCTAGGATCTACAATCAAGATGGTAGAATTAAAAAAATAGTTGAGAAAAAATCTATTAAATCGATAACCCACCGTAAAGATTTGTGATATGATAAAGGTGTGTGTAGGGTGGGACGATGTTTCTCAATCGCTAGGTAAAAGTTCAAAGGGAAAAAACGTTTTTTCCCCAATTTGAAAAAGTCAAACCCTTCCTCCCCCACCCGCTCTCAAATCTCAGTAATATCTGTTAATTTAGGTTACTTTAAAGTCTTCGGTCGAATATATAATTATACATCTTATAATAGCAAAATGTAAATCAACTTATACATAAAGAGGTTCTACAAAATATCTACATGAAGAAATTAGTGGTATTTAAATATATACCTTGAAGAGTAAAAACTTTTTAAATTATTTCGAAAAAAATTTCACAATTTCTAGGGTGTATGAAACCCTGCTGATAAATCAATATGCGATCAACAGGCAGAGCCATATCTCCACGAAAACATCAAACGTCATGAAGATCTAACATATGAGAACACCTTAAATGAACTTGAGAGAACTCGGATATGATTCAGTGCCTTTACTTGCTCATAACCTATGAAAATGCAAACTACGTCAATTGATATGGCTAGTCACCAAGCTCTTAATATCATAATCATGAAATCATTGGGACACATAGGAGCCACATCTACTGGTAATAAGGATGCAAGAGTAGCCTACCTGTTCACAGGAGGATTTGCCGGCAATAGATGTAATGAAATTTGGCAGCGACCAAATTGGACAACACGTGGTATTGAGATCAATTAAGGAACCTTTGGAACAAAGTTGACGGTAACCAGGCAACAACTCGATTAGCTTCTGGAGTTTGCAGAGACTTTGGATGGCTCCATGAGTAGTCAGGAAGGTTTTGTTGGATGTTTCAGGATCTAATCGTACGGCGATTTTACTCATGGATGCGAAACGACTCCATAGTTCGTCACTTCCTTGGTCTGGCAGAATGGCAAATGATAAGTAAATTTATAGAAGTGTTTTATTATACAAGTACAAATGACAATTAAGCTTTGAAAGAAAAGAACGCTTAGGTTACAGAATTTGTGCAGCCTGAATATGCTGACGCATATCCACTCGGTCTCTGTCTTATTCACCTACTGACTCATGGCTTTGCCTTGATTGCTAACGAACAAGGGGTCGGGAAATCAAATCTCCACAAGTCTCTATTACAGAATCAATTTCAAGTGCCCTATTTAAGCACTTCCTCTAGCTGTTATTGTTTCATATATTACTGTCCACCTTATTTACGATGGGTTACAACATACATTAAGCCTTTAGAGCCATAAAGAAGGGAAATCAGTAAGAGAATAAAAGTAGCTCTGTTTTATTCTTATGACCCACGGATGACAAAAAAGTTCGTATTTTTTACAAGGGTAATTGAAGACTGGTAAGATAAGGAATGAGAGGACTAAAAAATGATATTGCAAATAAAAGCAGCGTTTGCAAAATAGGCTTCATTTAATTTTCGGATTCGAATTGATAAATGATTAATTGTTGGATAGTCCACTTCTTCTGAAGTTCGAATTTCCGATTTGTCACCTGGTTCACTGAACTAATTCTTGTCAGCGATGTTCAGAGCATATCAGCCAATCGATTATTTAGAATGATCGATCTTTCCACTTCGAGGCATTAACATCATTCCAAAGGATCAGAAAGCGCGACCATCTATCATCTTGGCAATATAATATGCAGCAATTCTCGGCTTAACCCTGGTGCCATTTATTTACCATAGGAAACACTCACAACATATTAGGATGCGGGGTGTGCGATAGACTTACCTCCATGCGGTGCACTCCGGGCAACCCATTCTCATACGGCAAAAAGTCCATAAACGAGCAGTCGACTTCTGACTTCAAACTACCATCACCCCACTGTATGTTATTTTTATTATTATATCAAACGGCAGGCGTTTTGATTGTTTTCATTAGCCCTTAGTTGACTTCAGTCTTCACAGAGGGGAAAGAACATCAAAGTGTTAAAAATTCAAGAGGGGGGGGGGGGAACAGAAGAGTGTATCAAAGGCGAAGGTAGATAAGGTGGAAAAAGGTGAGGTGAGTACTGTAAAAGTAGTCCAATATGACGTACAGTGGGGACATAGTAGTTTGAAGTCAACTGCCAGTTAATAGATTTTTTTGCCGTATGAGTATACGTTGCCCAGGGTGCGCCACGTAGAGATAAGTCTATCACACCCCCCCCCCCCCCTCTCCACTTTTTCTCACTTTGATGTTCCTCCCCTCTGTGAAGCCCGAAGTCAGCTAAATGGCTAGTGGTAAGTATCATAAAGCCCGCTTTTTGAAATAAACATATTAGGATGCTTGGTCCGGATTTCCAGCTAAGCCCCCACATTTACGCCCCAGATTCAAGTGTCTGGAAAGTCTTTGGAATTTGACCGCTGATTCGATTTAAGATACCGACCACATGGAGAGCGACAACTGTTAGAAAATTTATTTTCTCAAGAGAAATTTCACCTACTCTTCATTGGACTCGTCTCCAGGATACTCTATTCATTAGGCAAACAAATGTTAACTTCATGGTTAACTTGGCTCTCTAAACTCCTTCGTATTGAGGTGCATCAAAGACAGTAACAAACCGATAAAACGATTAAGTCGTAACAATTGCGCATTCTTCAATGAGTTCGCTTATTCTCACACATTTTTTGGCTATCTTTTCTCGGCTATACTGAAACTGTAAGCTGAACTGTGTGCAAGATAACCGTTCCCCAAGCATTCCGGAAAGAAAAACGACCCAATGAAAGCGACTCTACTTGAGAGCGATCAATAAGCACTGAGTGCCGCAGACAAACAGCCAATTTAGTAAATACTGTACAACTTGTACACCGAAGCAAAATGGCATTTCCCTTAGAATGAATTTTCATAACTTAATGAATGTCTGTGAGACTAAAATCTTTATAATAATCATAAAATAAAAAGTAATAACCAAATTTGAAAAATGTTTTATGAGACAGAATAATAGGCATTTATACATTTAAAAAAGGCATAAGGACTTGACAAGATAGTCTAGCATATTCCATCTAATCACTAAAGCATTATTTTGGTCTGAAAACTTGAAGAAATGAATGGTGTTCCTGCCTGCCAGATGTGTGCCAAACGTTAATCTTTTTAATAGTGGAAACAATTTTTTGCAAATAAATGCGAAAACAGTAGAAGAGTTCATTAATATCATTATACAAGCAAATCTAATAAATTCTACTTAGTTAAAAATTGTATAAAAAAATAGAAAAAACGGACAAATTAAGTGGCCTAAGATCATGTATTTCCCGAAACAGTAATGTCCATGTGATTTTAAAGTCGAAAATAGACAAGCAATTATTGTACACATAAAAAATAACCGAACTTTTCATAAAAATATATCTGATCAAATAATTGACCAATTTATTGCAGAAAATTCAAGAGTAAAAGGTGAATTTCATTGAAAAATATTGACACTCAAATCCATTCAGCTGCCACGTTATTCAGTTGAAACCAGATTAACATGCATTAGTGTTAGATAAAAGTTCCAAAAGTTAAATAAAATCACTAACCAGGTAATTCGAAACAGAATGCAACAGAATTATTTTCACTTTTTTCGGCAGAACGCACTGATCTGAAATAACTGGATTTCGTTGTTGGCACAGCGAGTGAATTGTATTGAAGGGCCTTAAACTGGTATAGCTTCGCCGATTTAGTTGTTCCCATAGTGATAAAGTCCTATAATTTACAATAATTCACAAAAATATGCAAACATAAAATTTACTAAAAATCGCTTACTTTTGTAGGATCATCAAAATAAGGTAGGTCAGAAAAGTAGAGAGAAACAGCGACAGTTGAGAAAAGGAATATGATAATTAATATTGAATTAATAATTGGGTGGGAGACCAACCACTTCGCGTAACTAAAGAATACAGAACAAATTTTTAAAAAAAAATTCATTAAAAATACCAACAAGACAATTGCTTACAAATAAGAGAACCTTGAGAAATATGACCAAGGTGATCGGTAAGATGATACAAATTCGTCTTGCCGTTCAGGCATTTTAACTAAAATCTAAGCAGAAAAAATTAAAAATCATGAAATGTAGCAAAAAGTACAAAACGAAAACTATATTTAAAAAATCACCATCGTCTTTACAACAAATGCTAATAAGAATATATTTTGTACTAACTAACCAACTACTAACCAACGGAATTGGATTTGATTGAGAAGGGGTGTGTCTAGGCGACATGTACACCTACGCAAAATACACAAAGATTGTAATAACAAGTCCACCCCATAACAGAGACAGCTTTGATAAAAATTTGAACAAAGCTCCAAGGTCAATTTGGGAACTCAGGCATGTATAAAGGGTTTGAAACAGATTGTTTAAACTTTATATTCTATCATAATCATTATCTACATATGTATATTTCGTATCTTATAAGTTTGGACTTCGTATTTTTTAAATGTCATTGACTGCTACTGAAATAAATATCTATCTTGAACAAACGACTATTTTTCGTTCATTAGTTAGTCTGATCAAACGAATCTCATTTAGGTGATAATATATCTTATTTTCCTGAGAATATTAATGCGCACTGAGAGCCTTAGTTTGAGAATCTTAGTAAACTGCATATATCTAGAATATACGCTTATTTTTAAATTGAAATCGATTGATAATTCGTTAGAATGTATAAAATTGTTATAATTTTATGCTGTTTCATAGTTTCGCGCATCACATCGTAATTTATTTTATCAAATTCCAAGACTGCCTATGAGCTTTTAACCAGATAGTCATAAGTGTATTTAATAATTAATAATTATGTCCATGTTTAATCTTAACCTGTAAAAAAATAAAACTTATATTTATGAAATAACTGTTGAACCAGTATGCAGTAATCCGTTACATAAGTGGTGACTCTGATGTGATCTACACAGCCTTGATTCGATTTCTCTATGTCACTGAGATTTCTTTTCATACCGCCTAGCACACTTGGTGTTGACACCAGTTCTTAACATCGTTTCTTTCGTTTTCTTCTTAAACAGATTTCAGTGTGCATACATTGGGTGCCCTCAATGTTATCCCACCATCTACCCAACGAATCCTTATTTTTGGTTCAATTGGAAAATATTCTAAAACTACGGAGTGTTACCAAGCAGAGAACGCTATTTGAGCATATTATCGCTGCTCTGCCAGTTAATGTGGAGTCAGTTGTTTTCGACATCATTACAAATGAGCCAGAGGACAATCGTCTAAAACCTTCACAAAAAAAACGGGTTTCAAAAGTCAAACTATGGGAACGCAGTCCTTTCTAACTTTTAAACCAAATGCGTTAGTTAACTGGTTGAAAGAATTGAGATTGAAATGTCTCCCAGTGATGCCTACCTCAATGCTAGCCCTTTGCGCTCACCAAGTTGATATAGACTAATTAACTTAATTGTATGACCGGCGCGGCCGTGCTACATATTACGTAGGGATCAAATGCGGTCTGAGCGTAGAGAAATCTCAGTCACCCAACACTCAATAGTCTCTGCATGGTTGACCAAACCCTTCATAATATTGTATCTCCGCTTCAATGACATACAGACCAAATAGAAGTATACCACGCCGTACGCCGGCTTCCACTATAGCTTTGCAGTAGCTTAGCTAGTTATGGGGCCCTTTCCAAAAGAGGAGAACTTGCCATAGAGATAACTAAGCACAAGCCAAGGTCTATGTGTGGAAATCCGCTTTAAGTATCAAAAGGCAATTAAAATAAGGGAGACTTACTTGTTAAATTAAACATTATTCCAATTGTTGCATTTTGTACAAGTAGAATTAATACGAAATATTCCCCCATTTTACTTTTAACATTTATGACAGAACTGATATCGATTAAGCTATTCGGAACCAATAGCAAAACGCGTTAAGGCTCCACCACGGCTACACTACGCAAATGTAAGGAAACCATATAAAATATTGCCAGAGTAAACATAATGATTACGTAAAAGTTAATATTTTAGCAGATTTACAACATAGAGAGGAGTAAATAAAGTTATTCATTCAGTTTCTGCTCCCGAATCACCACCATCTCGCTTTTCGAGCTCTTCATCTGTATCAGTTGCTTTCACATCTTCCTGTTCTGCGATAAGATCTAAATCTCCCTCCCCGTCGCCATTATTTCCCTCTCCACCATCTGAATCTTCACTCTGATCAGAATCGTCTTCACCGCCTCCAAGGAATTCATTCCACCGAGCTAATCGTTCAGCCTCTTCCTCAGCAGACTCCCCACGAATGTCAAAGCGTTCTCGACCATCCCATCGTTCAACTCGGAGTTGTTTTCTTCGAAGTTCAGCAGAGGAGGACTGAGCGCAGTTCGTATTGGGGGCGGGATAAGTGAAGAGAGCACCGTTAAGGAAGGAGATAGCAACGTCAGCTTCGTCGGGAGTGCTGAAGGTAACAGCAACAACGCCTTCGGGATTGGTCTGAAGGGAAACAGATATGCAATATGTCAACATTTGTCAACGAAGGAAAACATCAAAGTCGGACACAAGTAAATAGACAGCCTACACTCATAACTTGAAAAAGCCAAATGAAAGATTATCCTTTTAGCCAACGTATTTTATTTTGAAAGAATTAAATTTTCTCATGGAAATTCTTCGAAAATAGTATGATTTGCATGGCATGAGTGGAGCCTTATAATCGACTGCTTTGTAAGTAAGTTAAGTTTCCTGAACCTTCAAAGTTAAGTGAAAACTCGAAGACACAGAAAATGAAACAAGGCTATCAACACTAGACCAAAATGAAGGGAGGGAAATTCACATTCACTACATATTATTTTGCATTCATATTCACGAATGTGCTGCAATGAGCACCGATTCCGCGACTTCTGACTCCCCAAATAGACACATTGAATACTGCTCAGAAAGTGGAACATCAGCACCTAGTACCGCTTTCGATCAGATTTTAACAAGAAATCTCCATATATCAGTGTTCAATGCCCGTTGTAACATCCACACCTAAGTACAAAGCTAAACTTTGTTTGGGACAGCATTCAAACGTTTCCTTATGAATACTAAAGAAGCACAGTGCGATAATTTGAAGAACTCTACTAAATAAGTCAGTAGCCAGCATAATTCTCTCCCCGCCTCTCTCTCTCTCTCTCACTCTCGGTACCCGAAAAGAAATGCAACCGCAAGACACTAGGTTAGTATTCTATTAAATAGTGAAAAACCAACCTCATTGACATGACTCAAATCTACCTATCCAAAGAGAAGTGGTGAAGACGCCAAGAAACCAACAAGAAAGATGATTTTTTGAAAGACAGATTAGTTGCCTAAGAAAAAGGTAACTTACATCATGAACGACAATCTTTTTCACAACACCAACTTTGGCGCATTGAGTTCGCACGCGTTCTCGAATGTTTGGAATGAGGCTGACATCCAACTATAATGGAAGGAAAATAAATCAGAAAAATTGAAAACACCATCAGTTTTTCTCAATCAAATATCCTGCACAAAATGCTTACACCAAGATCTTTTTCATCAAACACATCTCGAAGGATAACCACACGTTCCTTCTTGCTTCGAATGTGTTTGTTAGCTTCCGGTTTCCACTTAAAAAGACTACAAAATGGAAGCAATTAGAACACAAGAAGTAAAACAAGAAAAACGTATAAAATGAAAAGCAACTTTTCTTGTCTCTGCTTAAATTTCCTCTTCTCCTTGGCAGTCAATCGACGGTGCTTCGTGTAGTCGAAGTCCTTTTTTGGCTGGAATTTGGCGCGTTCAACATGCAGCACATAACCTGGTTCGTAGTGCATTCCATCGAGAATTTTTAGAGCCAAATCAACAGATTCGATCTAGAAATAGGGACGAAAAGTACGCATCAAATATTTTTATGATTAAAAAGTTCATGGACATTTAACAAACCTCTGATTAACTTAAATGTTGTTCATAAATGGTGCTTAGATCAATTGTTTCTTCTAATTGTGGCTAATAAAACGGACTGACTTCTCTGTTTTATAAAATAAACCCAAAAGTGAATCAAACGTACTCGAAGTATTCAATGAACAATAATGATGAAATTTGAGGGATATATATCTATTTGGTCAATTAATAGAAAAGACTACAATTGCAACAGTTTGAATTCTTCCAGAAGTGAAATATTGAGCTATTAGTGTATTACATTTCCATCATCTTCTTTTCATTTAAAGGTACACGTCTTGTATTTCCATAGAAGGCTATCGTAGAGTATCGATTTTTAGTCGGCAGAGAATTAGCACACTTAAAGCGTAAATTCAAGTCCTACAAATCACTTTATAGAAGTGGAAAGTCTCTTAGATAGACAATATATATAACTGCTCGTCTATGTAATGATGATATTAAGCAGCAAATAAGAAACGTTGCATAAGTGAGTTTCAATGAACTAAAACATCTTAGCGAAAATGCGATAGCAAAGTTCATAAATGAGGTGTGATAAGTATTGGTTCACCAACTAAACAACAACTATTTCCGTACAGCATATACAATTTTTAACTAAATTACTTATTAAAGGTATACATACCTTGATATAGCAGCACCGACCATCACCCTTTGGTTTGCCTTGTTCATCCCGATACAGCTTGATTCGTAGTTTGTCTGTAAGGGGATCATTCATGATGATGCCACACTTGGACATTAGAGTTATGAATTCTGCTTCAGAAATGGTTGGAGGAAGCCCGGAGACGTAGACGTGAGTGTTCTTGTCATCGCCGATCTAAAGGAAATAATTAAAAGAGAAGTTAAAACTGGTTTTTCAGAGAATATATGCAAACAGAAACACGACGTTAAGCCAGAAGTTCACTAAGACAAATAGTAAAGGAAGTTTTACAAGACTTCATATTTGAAATATGAATGAATTATGTATTTGGCAAATGAGAGCAATCTCTCTGACAGTCAGTGTGTACAGTATTTAAAACCTAATCAAATAAAAATGCATTAAAAGGCTTACATTTTCATCCCATCTCATAAATCACCTAAAGAGTGGAGTTACTTATTTAAACTATCAATTTTGAATGAATAAGTTCGCATAAAATTTATTACTAAGCTTAACACTCACTTCATACCACTCTGGAGGTCCCTTCCTTTTCCTTTTAACAGGAGGTTCAATGACCTGATCTTTGGCATCATTTGAAACGTCCACTGTAGTAGGTTTACTAATTGGAACACCAAGTTTCTGCTCCTTTTCTGCTCGTTTAAGAGCATCATCGGCTGAAACTTCCACCTGCGGTACTTTCCTCGTTCTCTCAAGACATCGTTGTTCTTCCAATTTGGCTTCTTCTTGTTGTTTCTGATAGGCCTCATACCAAACGCGATAGGCGTCTGATCGATAGTATGCATCAAGTGATGCGAGACCACTTTTGACAACCTCATCATCAGAACCCCTTTTTGCCTTAAGAACTTCAATTTGAGCAGCAAATTGACGCCATGCTGTGTGAGCACTCTCTTGTTCGTTTTGAATGCCAAAGTTCATCTGATAGGAGGCAATGAAATCATCGTCTATTTTGGGAAACCAAGCGCGTTTTTCTTCGTCCCATTCCATTACGGTTCCATCAGCATCGATGCGAGTCTTTTTATCATTTGCAACGGCTGCGGCTTCACGTTTTGTTGCCTCCTCTTCGAGACGAAACTGATCTTCAAATTCTTCATTTGACTCTTTTATAGCCGATGACATTATTTCGACTCTCTAAGAAGAAATTTTTAAAAGAATTCCACCAAAAGACAAGCAAATGGAAGAGAGAAGCCTATTATAACTTCTCACATATTAGTTTTTGCAACTACACAGTAGCATAGTTTGAATTCTCAAAATGTATGAAATATTGTTTCATAAAACAAGAACCAATAATAATCACGACTGGCTAGTAATATATCAATATAAAAATTGTAAACCGAATAAGAACAGCAGTTTTTCCTCACAAAAATCTACGATCAAGAATTACAAAATCACGCGGTTGACTATTATCGTACATAACAACTGGCAAATTTTAATTAATTAATGTGAATTCTTGCAATTTGTAACTAATTTTAAAGAAATCAAATTATTTTTTTCAATGCTCGTTATCTATCTTCTATCCAGTTTTTATCACTTTATCTATATGAAGTTAATAACTAATTGTTATACATTTATTAATTATCTGCATTCCACAACAAAGTATTAATTAAAATATCATAAATAAATGAACTGTGATTTAAAAGTGAAATAATAATATGTCAATGCATAAATACAACCAGGCCAGAAAATTATTTGATTACTGATGGACTAACGAGTAGTGATTTATATATTTTTTTATTTCAAATGGCAGGCGTTTTGATAGGTATCATTAGCCCTTTAGTTGACTTCGGGCTTCACAGAAAGGAACAGGAACATTGAAGTGGCAAAAAGTCGAGATGGGGACAGAATAATGATTCACAAATGTAAAAGGGACAGACAGACGCAAAGGTAGAGAGAAAGGAATGATGAGTGCTGTAGAAGAGGCGAATATGGCATAAAGTTGGGCCATTGTAGTTTGAAGTGAGAAGTCAACTTCCGAATAATAGACTTTTTGCCGTATGAGTATACGTTGCCCAGGGTGCACCACGTGGAGGTAAGTCTATCGCACACCCGGATTAGGGGCAGGATTAAACCATGGTGATGGTAGTGTGAAGTCAACTGCCGGTTAATAGACTTTTTTTGCCTTACGAGTATACGTTGCCCAGGGTACATCTCGTGGAGGTAATCCTATCACGCACTACGAATTTTTATATATTTTTTAAATGGCAGGCTTTATGACATTTATACATAGCCCCAACAAATTCCAGTATAAAGTACTGATTTTTACCTTAGAAGATAAGCTTTTTTTGGATCTCAAGGCATCGGTTCTTTCATCCTCTACTTATTTTTTTGTGACATGAGGATGAATTTTTAGTGATTCTGTCCATTCCAGCTCTATCGAATTAAAATAGCGGCATATTTTCACAAAAAAGCCACTCCAATATTTTAGCATTTATTTTTCCAATAAATATTGCACGTTTGTCATCGTCTGATCCACTTTGCTTGAGTTGATTTCGGAAACTTGAACCCCCCCCACACCGTGCGTCCATGCAACACACCAGTGACAACTCCGCTTTCACACGCCACTGAATACCGGCCACTCGGTGAAGTTCAGCAGCGAACACATTCGGCAACTAATTCTCGGACCCGTTTGTAGTTTCATTGATGTCAGAGATATCAGTTTAAAATCATTCGACTTCACTGCGATTGGATGGTATTTTAAAATATAATTTTTTTCAATATTTTTTTGCACAAAGTACCACGCAACAGTCACACTATAAAGGAAGGTATAAATGGCTTTCAAAAATATTTTGAGAGATACCCTGTGGCCGCTAAATGGTCTATTCACTTAATTTTAAAAGCTAGTTGAAAAATTTCACCTTTCACTTGATTTGTAAAGATAGAGTCAATAAAAAACTGAACTTTCGGGTATTTACTAATCATATAAAGGAGGTTGCAATATTTACCGCGAAGTAATCATCAGGTTTGTGAGAGTTAATTAAGTTGAAAATACGTAATTCCCCGGAGGAGTTACGCGGCAAAGAAGGTTAACATCAATGAGTTAATTTCAGTCAACATTGACGCAGAATTTATCCAATATCAAGAGGGTCTTGTCTAAAGTTCTTTGGCTTTGAAAAATTAAAATATTCCCTAATCGTGAGTCCTATTAAAGTTTTTAGACCTATTTGAACGAACTTGAATATTAAAGGGCAAACAAAACATAGTAATGAACATCTTTCCAACTAGTTAATTCCGACTAAATTAAAGCACCTATTCCTCATCGCGCTCAAAAATTCACGACGCCTGCAACATTTTGTGACCCATTTTTAATATTTTATACAGCCATTCACCCCGCCCGTTTACAATTTCAGCAAGTCAAAAAGCCTAGCATAAAACTGGCAGTTACACACGAAAGTTACAAAGTCCTCCAGGTACCGAAATGACTACTTAAGTACTGATAGTAGTATGAAATACTGCGTTAAGAAAAGAAAACCATTAAAACAAGGAAAAGTAAAAATAATACTAACTGATAGTTGAGTATGAATATGCATAGTTTGAAAGGATTTTGGAATAATCTAAAGGATGCGCCCAATAGCCCACTTATTGATTAGAGAAATTGTTTCAATAAAGAGTAGAATTCAGCGGATATTTTTCAGTGAAGCAAATTGTCTGGACAACATCTACCAATCCTGGTGAAAGGGTACACTGAAATTAATTAGCAGAGGGCGTGTGAATCCAGGCATAGAGAAGCCAAGAGTTTTTTTATGAAACATTTGAAACTGTTGAAACGATTATTGCTTGAATAATGCTTAACGATTTAATGGCTGGTTTAAAAGAGTTTGAGTTTGTCACCAGAACCTATAAAACTTTCATATCATACACCGCCATCTCCCTAGTAATAAAAGATTCCCATTATCTTCTAACTTTCTCTACGCCTAACTCTAGAGTAGGTTAGTGAGAAATAGGTCGTTTCTACAAAAGTATTTTGTTTTACTGAAACTTGTAGGAGGCAAGTGAGAGAAATCAAGGACCTTATGCTGGTTAAACAGTTCGAATGTGGCGGAATAGCAATCAATTATTAAAAAACTCTGTTAAAGTCAAATAAATTAAATTTTCCCACACGTTAAGGGGCTTGTACGATGAGCGATTTAATTAAATATAGGAGAGGTGGTTGGCAAGGCCTCTCTCTACAATGTTTAGCATTTCCTTGTCCTAGAAACTGAGATCAACTAAATGTGTTTATTTTACCAATTAAAATTAAATTGACCACTTGCACCAATCAAGCTATTAGTAATAAGGTCAGAAGAATTTCGCTACGCTTTCCATTGATTTTCAATAAACGTTAGATCACCTCCAGGTGAACTTTTTATTATAAGTCAAGGATTGTACAAGTAATTGAAACCCATTTTCCTTGCAGAAATAAGATACAAAGAAAAGAGCAAAGAAGCAAAGCGATTCTACTTCCTTTTCATAAGGAAGGATTGAAAATCCTTTGGATATGCAGAGAGAAACTTCGAATCTGGCAAAATTGCATTTTGTCATTCTTTTGTAGCAGATTGCTACTTTCTTAAGGCCTGACTGACTCAGAAATCTCTATGGCAGATCCTCCTACATCTAGCTAGACTCCCAGAACCAGCTAAGCTATAGCCCAGCTATAAAGGAAACAGACGTGTAGCACGGAGCACGTTTATTCAGGCCGTATACTGCGGATCAAGTGTACACGTAGGGGGCCTAATCATGATTAGGATGGCTGATTAGGTTAAATAGAGTTTGATGATTGGTCATTGTTAGTACGGCCCAATCCTGGCGAGCAGACATGCAGGCATACGATGACGCACAGAGCGATAACGTGTCCCACACTTTCACAAGCCCAACATTTTCCATGATTGTATAAAGAGAGTCAATCTATTGTTCTCTAGTTT